CCTTGTGTACTCAGTCAGTGTACTCTCATGATTTCAAAATAACCCTGGATTAGTGCACTGAAACTCTCTTATGCATGTTATTGGATATATCAAGTCCACTATTGACTATGGCATCACTTACTCATGAAATGCACCTCTCAAACTGATGGGATTTATTGATGCTGACTACAGAGGATGCAAGGATACTCTGAGATCTACCTCAGGATATGTATTCATGATATCTGGTGGTCCTGTGGCATGGAGTTCTAAATGTCAAGCTACCATTGCCCTTTCTACTATTGAAGCTGAGTTTGTCTCACTTGCTTGAGCTGCCCAACAGCTGAAGTGGATGTTTTCTCAGTTAAAGGAGGTTGGATTGGAACAAGATAAGCCAGAGATACTTAAATGTGACAACCATAGTGTGGTATCACTGATGAATATAACATGCAACCACTATAAAGTCGAGCACATTGACATCCACAAATATTATCTTTGTAAACTTATGTATGGTGGCAAGATCAAGGTGGATTTTATTTGAGGAAAGGTCAATGCCATAGACCTTTTCATAAAACCACTTCACTATGACCATCATTATCACTATCTCAGTGACTTGAACCTCACTGATTGACTGCCTGTATCTGAGGGAGTGTTGAACAAGACATGTAATATCTAATGCAATCTTGACTATATTGTATGCCATCTGTTATGGACTCTTTTGTTTTTCTATACTCCTAAAGTTCATACTGACAGTATATATACTGTATAGTTACTTTTGTAATATCAGTCATTTCATCCATACTATGCTGACTGAGGTATGTGTTACTTAGCTCATATACCTCACATACTTTACTCACTTCTTAGTTCTGATTATATTGTTCATCTTACATTAGATGTGTTGGGATAGCAATCCCAAGTGAGTATGAGAATGTACTCAAAGATGCTATAACAATCAGTGGCAGCTGACTTGGATCATGATCCATACTTATTTAGTATTTCATAGAAAGATCTCAAAGTAGTACAAAATGTATTTAAGTAAAATGTCTTTCTCTTGAGAGGCTAATCTAATCCTCTGTACTCTACTCTATACCTACAACAGGTTATGGGCTTTAGCTATAACTGAACTTACATCACTACTCACTTCACACTCTTTTGTACTTTATGTACACATGCAGAACTACATGGATAATCAGTCTATGTATAGAATTGACTCTCTTAAGGGTCTGGAAAATTACCCAATGTGAAAAATCAAGATGATCAATATTCTAACTGATTTAAGACTAATTGATTATGCAGATGAAAGCACTCCAGCCTCAGCAGATACAGCACTGGTGGCAGATTGGAAGAAGAGCAATAGAAAGACTCTTTTGATAATAAGATTATGGATTTTGGATGGCCCACTGGTATATATTGCTGGTTTGAAGACTTTGGCAGAAGCCTGAAAAGCTCTAAAAGATATGTATGAGTCCAGAGGACTCATAGGAATTGTCCTTGTCAGAAGAAAATTCTTCAGAGCTTAGTGTGAAGGAGGAAATATAGAGGAGCATATTAGGACTATAAGGTCCTATCAGGAGGAGCTGGCATCCTTTAAGCAGAAAGTTGAGGAGGAGGACTTCTCTATTACACTGCTTATATCACTCCTAGAATCATAGAATTCATTCATCTCATCAGTGGATACTACTAACTTGAAAGATTCTTACAAGTTGATTTTCTAAATTCTTCAGAAAGACATCTGATTAAAAGAAAAGACTTCTGATCAGACTATGATACTTGCAGCATATGGCAAGAAGTCCAACCCAAAAGTCACATATTATGAATGTGGGAAAACTAGTCACATTAGAACAAATTACTCAAATGAGAAGAAAAATTCTGGAAAGTCATAGAAAGGAAAGAGAAGGGGCCAGACTCAGGCATATATTGCCAAATCAGACTCAGAAGAAGATGACTATGCATTTTATGCAATAGACATTGCACTTACCTCACTCTCAGGAGTATCATGGCTAGGAGACTCTGGCACTATTAGATATATAGTCAAAAATAGACTATTTTTCTGATGATGTTGAGACTCCAGGACATGAAGTCATTGGTGTAGGCAAATTCAAAGGCTTGGAAAGAGGAACTGTCAAGATTAAAATGGTTGAAGGAGAAACAATCACTCCAGTCACACTAAGAAAGTGTATTCACTGTCCTGATGCACCATTCAATCTTATGTCACTAGAGTGCATCACAGATGCTGGATTTGAACTAAATTCAAAGAGTTCAGGATGAATATTATCTCACCACATGGCAAGACAATCAGCTATAGAGATGAAATATCAAATGTTATGATTTTTCCTATTTTCTTTTCTTTTTACTTGATTTATCCAGAATGACCTCTATTTCTACTTAGTCAGAGTGCTTAAGCTAATGCTTAGAATCATGAGAAGGCTTAGTCAGCAGCACCATCCTAATTCTACTATGCTGCTGTGAAGCCTCACAGCAGCACAATGGCAGAACACCTCTTTTGTTATTGCACAGCAGTAACAGCAGTAACAGCTTAACAGCAGATAATACTCTTTTGTAGATAGCTTAGTGACACTGGACAATGTGCTCTACAGCTTCAGAATAAACAATTAGGTAGTTATATATTTAGCATGAATGACAATTAGTATATAAGTAGGATAGCTCTTGCTGTAGTAATTCTAGCTTCAAGCTAAAGTTTATTCTTTCACCATCTTATCTCGAGTGACTTGCAATGCCTTGACAACACAGCACCATCAACACATCAAGTGGACTCTGACATTCTAACCCAAAGTGCAAGGTTGTGTCAGTTTATCACATGTTATTGGTCACATGAAATTTGGGCTTAACATCAAAGCTGTACAGCCTTGACATCATTGTTCCAGAAATAACCCAGATCCATGCTACAAAATCAGTCCAATCATGGCAAAAGTGGCACAAAACATTAGGCCACTTAAATATAGAATCAGAAAAGAGACTATTTAAAAAGAAAATAGTCAAGAGAATAAATATACAGTTGACTATCTCACAATGCATAATATCAAAATGCATAATTCTGACTTTGCATATAAATTGGGCTGGAATGCAGTCAGGAAGCAGGGAAATAGGCTAGAAATGCATATCACATAATGCATATAGTTTTAGTTAGGAATATGCATTGTCAGATCCAAAATTGTAGTAAGCTGATAAGACATTATGCATATATTAGAATAATAAAGAACATAATTTGTTTGTATAGACTATAATAAACACAAAAAAAATTATTGTAAAGCAGCACAGCCTATATCTCTATAAACATGCCTTCTGAACCAATATAAAAACTATGTGCTAAATCTGGAAATTCATATGAGCATATAAAATAAAGGAGAAAGTCCCAATGTACACATTATTAGCTCAGCCTCCAAAGCAGATCTCCCACTCACACCTCACAACAGAAGACTGGCTTGTAGTATTAAAACATGTTGATAACCATTCTTCCCATTGACATGCTGATATTGTGGCACATTTTGCAAATCAAAAGAAAGATGCACTGCTCTTTATCCAACCAACTCTTTTATGAAAACTGGTATCTTATACAAAAATTGAACAGCATACAAATGAGAACCCTAATATACTATCATCCAAAAAATGTTATGATTTTTCCACATTTTATCCTTTATTTCAAGAAATTGACCCTTATCTTTGCTTAGTCATAGCACTTAATTAGTGCTTAGAACCATAGGACCAGGCTTAGTCATTACAACATGCCCAGTCAGTCATTGTTTTTTGACATGATGATAACTGCTCAATAACAGACAATACTCTTTTGTAAGTAGCTTAATGACACTGGACAAAACACTCCATAATACCAGAATGCACAATTAGACAGTTGTATCTTTAGATGGACAATGACTGGTATATAAGTAGTGTAGCTCTTGCTGTAGTATCCTCAGCTTTGAGCTAAAGTTTATTTCTTCACTATTTTATCTCAAGCTGATCTAAAGGCCTTGCAATGCAAAGCCACATAACATATCAAGTGAACTCTGACATCATTGTCTGAAGTGTGAGACAGTGTCAGTTTATCACATGTTTAGGTTATGTGTCATTTGGGCTTAACAATTAGCTTGAAGCTTTTAGCTTCTCTTTTTCAAGCTCAACCATGCTGAAAAACTGAATGCCCTCTGCAATCAACCCATCAGATCTGAATTTCACTCATGAGTTCTTCAAACTCCTCACTTCTATTATTGGAACTCTATTAGGATTATTAGTGATCATATAGCTGTGCTGTAGATGCCAATTAATCACTGCCTGAGCAATTAGACATTATTAAGAATTTCAGCATATCTGATGTATCCTATGAAATGTCACTTCTGACCTCCTCCTTCATGACATCTCTCTCTCTGTTCAACAGTCCTTCCAGCTCACAGAAGGAACCATACCCAAAACTGACCCTGAGGATGCATCTATGCAATGTCCTGAGGAAGAAATACAGCACTGATACCCACTCCAACCCTTGATGGCAATCATCAGAGATGATAGCAACCCTTAGGCTACAGGATTTCAAAGACTGTGACCTGACATGCCCATCCTGCATATAGAGTGCACAGACATCTTCAGCCACATCCATATAATGAAAGCAACCCTCTCAACTGCACCCTCTGAGTCTGGTGTTGGATGTCATGCCAGAGACTCTCTTGATGCCACTAGAGTGGCTTGAAGGAGTAGGAGTACCTCTTCCAATAATGGCCATGACTCTCTATTTGCAACACTGACAGGAAGCAGAGAGAGTTTTCCCACTGAGCTATACATCAGAAATCAGAGTACCAACAGTGAGAGAGGAAGGACAGGCATCATCAGGACTGACAATGTATTCTTTGCTGATGATAGTGATGAAGAAAGATACTGGTGAGCAGCAGCAGCAGCAGCATTTGACTGAATGGAGTGCCACTAGAGCAGCTGTACTCTAAGCAGAACAGACAGCATATAAATGCCACCAGAAGTATCACAACTAGCTAATCCCATTGATCTGGTTCTCCCTCCAGAGAATGAAGTTTGACACACTGATTCTCTTGCTGAGTATGTCCAGGAGCAGATGCAAATCAAGTATGAGACAGCTAGAGAGGACACCCTCTTCGGACAGTATCTCTGAGCACAAGACATGGTGGATTGGTGAAGGGGCTCAGAGAGCCTTAGTACCTCCACTATTGACAGGACTCTCATTAACTCTCCTGACACTCCATTCCAGAAACCCAGCATTCCTGCTGCCTCAGAGCCTAACCCATGGGCAGTACCCCCCAAAGGTATCATTCATGTAGATGATGTCTATCAATGAGCATCACTTGATCTTGATGATGACTGCCTATTATCTTATAGGACTGACTCAATCACTGATACCAATGATATTCCAGCCTGAGAAGAAGACTTATAAAGTCAGGGTGGAGACCTCAGAGGTGATGATGAGCATATTGACCCCACTGAAGACCTCAAGCAAGTCCTAGACAGGCATATCACAATGTTCTTCCTCTGACTCCACTTTTATCAAAACTTCTGCTGATATTGCAGAGCAGTGGTGGTAGAAGCAGCAAGACATGATGCTGAGAAGCAGCAGTGAAGAAGAGAAGAGTCTTCTCCTCATCCTAGATCTAGCAATGCTGGATCCAGCACCCAGCAGCAGCAACAGTCAGGCCAATCTGGACATCTACAACCTATGCAACAGTTTCCTTCTTAAAGGGGATGAGGGTGAGATGGACAATGAGGATGAGGAAGGGCCTAACAATGAGGGGAAAGAGGACCCTCTCTCTGAGTGAGGCAGTATGTTCATGCAACATCCAATAGAAGAAGAATTGGCAAGGAGAGCACAGGAGAAGTGCCAGAGTGAGTTTTTACAGCTGTACCAGGAAGAGGCAGCCACTTTATGGATGGATGACATCTGGCTGGTGTTGTCCATAGGATAAAGGTATACTGCTGCTGACAGAGTTGAGCATGTGGACATCATTTAATATGTGGCTACTGAGTGGGCTATTTTTATTTACAATAAAAATCATTTAGGAATCCAACTATCACTGCTACTGGTATATAAGTCTAAGTTCAACATTGAACTAATACTGTGAACACCAAGTGTAGCATCCAGCTGAGCCACCTATATGGCACCTTCCATCTGAATAACATCCTCCCAATACATATTTGCCACCTCAGCCATCTACAGCATGGTATCTTGGCTTATACAAAGCCAACCTAGGCTAAGGAATTTTTATCAGAACCCATGGACCCAGCCAATGCACTGACCAATCACTGGACAATCCCCATCAGATGAAGCCAAAGGCAGTAGGAGTGATGGGAAGGCACCAGAAGCCACTGAAAATGACCCTGAAGCCATCAAATTAGGATTTACCATTCAGAATGGGCATATAGTATACAAGAAGGCACAGCCACTAAAGAGTCCTGTCACTGATAATAACTCTCTGCATTTCTTTCTAGGACCCCTGATGATCTGGAATGTCCTGCCCTTTGGTGGGATTCTGAATCCAATGACAGCACTTACAGCAGATGCTGCCATTCTTAACTGCTGATCAGATCTCCTGCACAAGCCTCATCCCTTCAAAGGAGCATCTGACAATATTGACCACTTCCTCACTGACTGTGATCAATATTTCCAAGTATACTCCTTCTTCTTCATCCTCAACATGTATAAGGTCAGGTTCACCTTCACATATCTCAAAGACAAGGCAAAAACATAGTGGGTACTTCTCATCTCCACATTCTGGTCCACCACATAATAACATCACTGGTACTCCTCATGGCTGGTATTCAGACAGATGGTGATCAGCAAATTCACCAATCCAGCAGTTTAAGAGATACACAAGCAGAAGATAAAGGACTACAGGATAGGAGACAAACCAGCAATCAAGTACTTTGACAAATTAGAGTGACTCAGCAAGCTTGCTGGAGTATGAGATGATGTCGCAGACATGGAAAGGATAGTCAAGTACATGAAGATGAGAGCACCTACCTCCTACTTCATGATGATCATGGCATCAGACAAAATATCCCAAAGAGATATAACAAATAGAAGGCCTGCATTATCACTATGTATAAAAAAAGGCAGCAGCAGAAGGCAGATCAGACCACCCTAACTGAGGATCAGAAGCACCAAAGACAAGGCATGAAGTCCACCTTCAGCATGACCACATCTGCTAAGTCCAGTGGCTCAACTCCAACTTTCTCATATAGTGAGAAGAAAGCTGATATGGGCATGACATTTACTGGAACAGATAAGCCAATAGATGTGGATCAGCTCAAGAAGGAGGAAAAGTGCTTTAATTGTGGACAAAAGAGCCACATGGCATGAGACTGCCCACAGAAAAAGAATAAATGCACTCAGGAGGACCTCAGGGCCCTGATCATCAAGTTACAGAAGGAAGAAGAAGCCTTCAGACCAGATACCAAGGTTGAGGAGGTAAAAGATAGGGCTGAGCAGTGAGTGATTCTGCTAACTTGGCAGAAATAATGAGTGGTGTGTTACAAGCAGACACTGGATGGACTGATTACACCTCTGTAGTACCACCTATGTCTAAATTATGCATGCATTCAAATATACCTGACTTCACCACTCAACAACCAGAATTGCCTCATTGCCATCTGTCATGATCATGCAACTGCCAGACATCCATGCATTGCCAAGACCAAGGAACTGATTCTGTGAAATTACTGATGGCCTAAAATAGGCATTGATATCACCCAATATATTAAAGCATGCAAGGTTTGCCAGTAAGACAAATCTTTAACACAGCTATGAGCAGTACCACTCTATCTGAATAAGGTTCCATCATCATCATAGACCCATATCTCAGTGGACATGATCATTGAATTACCAGACTGCAACAGCTATGATGCAATCCTTGTCATAGTCAGTTGATTCTCCAAAGCAATCATTCCAGTCACATGCTTTACTGAGCTAACCTCTGAAGGATGGGCAAAGATCTTATATGATGAGGTATATGCCAAATATGGTATGCCTCAAGTCATTATCTCAGATAGAGGACCACAATTCATGTTCAAGTTCTTGGATGATTTGTACCACCTACTTAACATTAAACAGAATGCATCCACCACATACCATCTCCAAACAGATGGACAAACAAAATGGGCAAACCAAAAGGTGGAGAAATACCTCTAGCTCTTTATCAACTACTGTTAAGATGATTGGATCAAATGGTTGGCTCTTGCAGCCTTCCAACACAACAACAGGATCCACTTGGCCACAGGCAAGACACTGTTCTTTGTAAACTATGGATAGCACCCTCATGTCACCCAGACTAAACATGTGCAAAGAATGACACCTGCCTCCACTGACTTCACTGCCATTATGGGGAAAATCCACACTAAAACCAAGGCAGCTCTCAAGAAGGCTACAGTGACTATAAAGAAACAGTATGATAAACATCAGCAGCTGGCACACAAATATTCAGTCAATGATAAAGTCTGGCTGGATATCACAAATCTACATCTTCCCCACCTGAAACAGAAGCTTGCTAATAAACAAACAGGCCCATTTCTGATCCTCGCCAAGATCAGCAACTCCACCTATAAATTATGTCTTCTAACTACTTGAAAGATACATAACATTTTTAATGAAACACTGTTAATGCCATATATTGCATCAGCATTCTGAAACCAGGAATGACCACCTCCATCCTCATTTGACCTGATAGATGACAAAGAACACTACAAAGTCAATCAAGTTCTAAACTATCAACTATGCAAAGTTTGGGCTCATGATGGTAGAAGCTGAACCACAGTTGACTACCTTGTCAGCTGAAAAGGCTACAGACCAGAGTCAAACCAATGGATCAATGAATGACACATGAATGCTGAGAATGCAATCTGTGATTATAAACAGAATATTGACCAACTTAATAGTCAATGTCTTTATAAATCTTATGAGAAGAAGGACAGATTATCTGCTCCCATGATCCTATGACTTATCTCTAAATTGAACCATCAGGACAATGGTCTTAATGAGGGGGTAATATTATGATTTTTCCACATTTTATCCTTTATTTCAAGGAATTGACTCCTATCTTTGCTTAGTCATAGTGCTTAACCAGTGCTTAGAACCATGAGACCAGGCTTAGTTATCACAACATGTCCAGTCAGTCATTGTTCTTCAACATGATGGTAACCACTTGATGACAGACAATACCCTTTTGTAGGTAGCTTAACAACACTGGACAAAATGCTCTATAATGCTAGGATGCATAATTAGGCAGTTGTATCTTTAGATAAATGATGACTGGTATATAAGTAGTGTAGCTCTTGCTGTAGTATCTCCAGCTTTGAGCTAAAGTTTATTTCTTCATCATCTTATCTCAAGCTGATCTAAAGGCCTTGCAATACAAAGCCACATAACATATCAAGTGAACTCTGACATCATTGTCTGAAGTGCAAGACAGTGTCAGTTTATCACATGTTTAGGTTATGTGTCATTTGGGCTTAACAAAAAGTCTCATATTGTTATCTGATCTGATGTAGAGCATGCTGTTACATTCTGGTATCAGAACATGCAGCTCTGAGATGAGATTGTGACCAGTGCAATGCTGATAGAGAAGTGAAATCAGATTAAAAATCTGATGAATATTCCAGAAAATCAGTGTTTGAAAGGAAAGGGATAGTTGAAGTCATTCTGCAAGGCATGAAAGATTCAGAAGGTTTGGCAGCATGGAGAAGCAGGCTCAGTGGATATAGTGGCAGTGAAAAAAGAACATATGCATCTTCACAGCATTATGGTGAAATATATGATGTGGAATAGATAGAATATTGATGAATCTGGTCTTGTCATCTTTGCCATCCCACATCATATCTTAGCATCTGATCCTCTGAGTGGATGGAAACAGGACAAGTTTTGCATCACCATATGTTTTGCTGTGAATGCAGATGAGAGTGAGTGGATGCCAGTTGTTTTCATTGGAAAGTCAAAGCAACTGCAGTGTTTCAAGAAAAAGAGTCCAACAGCAATGGGATTCTATTATCAGAATAACAAGAAGGCCAGGATGATGAGCAAAATATTTATAAAGTGGGTGAAGATATTTGATTTAAAGATGAAGAGAGAGATGTGACAGGTTCTGCTGATCTTAGACAACTTTTGAGAGCATTTCATCACTTATACACCTCATAACACAAAGCTAGAGTTCTTTGAGCCCAACATGACTCTATATGTTCAGCCACTAGATGCTGGTATTATCTACTGCTTTAAGACATATTATTGGAATGCCATGCGCATCTGTGCACTTGATCTCAATGATCTTGGAGAGTCTGAGATTTTCAAGCTTGATCTTCTTGAAGCTATGACTATTGCTTATGATGCTTGGGTAAATGTCAGCAGTAAAACAATAGAAAACTACTGAAAACACACTGGTATAATGCCTGATAATGCACCTAAGTCACAGTCTACCACACCATCCAATGATTTTCAAGACACCTCACTTGTCAAGTCTGCATGGAATCTTGTTTGTGACTTTGCCTCAACAGACAAATGCATGCTTCCAGAGATCAAACAGGTATTGCAGAATCTGCTTGAAAACTAATATGCTGATGCTGACTGGTGTTCTGCTCTTATAGCTGTTATAAATGCAGAGAACAATGTTGATAAAGTACTGGAGGCAGTCAATCAGTTGGCTCCTTTGTCACAGTCAAAAATGAACACACCTTTCACTCAAATTGCCCCCATTCAACAGTTCCAGACAGCAGAGATAATGTTGAAGGACCATCTTGTTGAATTGAAACAACAAAATTGCATGTTTAGTTCTAT